AACTTAATCTAAATTTGAATTCAAATGTATGCTTTAAGTATGCATTTCATTTCAACAGATGTAACACCAAACCAAAAACACCTGATGTCAAACTACCACAATTTAAGTGAAAAACAGGCAATGTGCAGACATTCCTTTATACAGTTTACAGGTTAATGATATTAATCATGTAGATAAATAATGTGCTTGTATCACAAGCTGTTTCCCTCTGTCTGTTTGTTGGTCTTGCCAGATGTCTCTCCCACAGTAACTTCAGTTACACAACACAGGTGCTCATGCAGCATTGCCATCTACTAAACAGAGATAAGATCTGTGCGAGAGAATTTACAAAACACTACACAAGCTGCCAATTAGACAAATAGTTCTGCTCTTAACCTTAGGCTGTATGAGCTCAAGTCCCTGCCTGTTTATGTACATTGATGAAAATCTATCTTGGATAAACTTGCTGCTCTCTTTTTTCTGGTTTAAAGACGCATTTAAACATAATCTATGGACATATATGCAATTCCTACCACGTGCCATAAACAGCTGTACAAGCTGTAATCATAATGTTCGAATGTGACTGTGAATTAAATTGTTTAGGACTGAAAAGCATTGTCTCTTCACTGCTTGTACACGGATTAAAACACAGTTTAAAGGGTTACATTTTAAGTGGATTGCAAAAGCTTGGGTAACAGAATTCAGACAAAAGGACATTACAAGGGAAAAGGCTGTAGAAAGACAGGTGAAAAATTCAGCAGGCTGCCTGTGAACTGCAGATTCTAAAACTAAAATTATTCCGTTCAATAAAAACAACACTCAGTCAGTATATATCTGTGCATTTGGGTGGCACAACTTATTCATTGTACAAAGCACTGTAAATTAAGACTTGATTTCCTCAAGCACAACAAACATTAATTTTTCATGTTCCTCTCAGATGTATTTGAAACCAAATAATCATCCTCATGACCTCTTAGTTATTCTAAGTAAGCTTAATGTCTGCCACAACATTCATCACTGAATCCAGATGACACTCAATAGTGGGACCCCTATTTTTTACATTTATGCTTTATTTGGGAAAACAAACATCACCCTAAATGCAAAATCATAATCCACAATCTTCTGTGCAATCTTACAACTCAAGATGTCATCCTTTGATCAATTTTTATCAACTCGATCTTCCCAAGAGCACCTCCTTATTTAAAATCTTTTGAATGTGCCACTGCCAATGACGGACTGGAACAACCTGCAAGCTGCTGAAGCTATCCATGTTGGAATCTGAAGTTGATTTTCAGTTTATTCAGTTCTCCCTGATACTCGCGCTTGTGAATATGGGAACATCCAAACCTTTTCCTGCTTGTTCTTCCCGATCCGGATGCGACTGTGCACTTGTGCTTCCACCCCTTCTGTGCGGAGGTGTATGTAACTGTACCACAGGACTGACTCTCCACTGCAGGTGGCAGTCGCCTGTGTCTGGTGTGTGCCTGACAGAGCACCAGGTGCGCATCCTGTCACTCTGCTCTGTGCAGCTGCTGCTCAACCGGACCGCCACGCCGCGCCCCTGGGGCGACACAAACCCACCCTGTCGCTCGCAGGGACTGATGTCCTGCACTGCTTGCACAGCAGTTTCCTCAGCATTGATGAGCTGGACCTCAACCGTGCCACTGCGGCACTTTTGGAGACAGCACGCCCCCCCCAGACCAACACACGTGCCTCTAACCCCTCTGCCTTGCCTTCACTGCCCCAGAGCCGGGTTCAGTATCTCCTACACTGGGAACTGGGTGGGAACTCAAGTCTGTGTACTCTTGTGAAAGAATGCCCGCTTGCATATTTTACTGGAATCTACAGCAGCTGTTCCTGGAAACCGGTGCTACTTACTCACTCGGTGAGAAAGTGAAGGAGACAAATTTTCCAAGATGCTTTAGAAAACAGAATTAAACCTGCTGAGTGTTCCGTAAAAAGGAGAACTTATTCGTTTCAGCCATCATGATGAGTCAAAAAGTAAAGAAAGAAAAACACTGAAGTCCCTCTGCTAGGAAGCTTGCCATTTAAAGCTGTGAACTCATAATATGTTGATGAGGCATACTTTTTCTGTCTTGGAGGAAGGAAAAATAAACTGATAACACACACACAGATTCGCATTTCGAAACCCATCCAAGCAGAAACGGGCCCTCCTGACGGAAATGGGACTGACACTTTAAAAACTCTTGAGAGTTTCAAACGCAATAAGGCTAATTACTGCTGTGATAGTGACCAGGCTATACAAGAAATACGAGTCTTTTAACATCATTTTTGGCTAAGAAATGCAAAACAATTGAGAGCTTGGTTCAGCTAGAGCTTCATGTTTAAACAAATAAGCTTAACAGAACATGACCTTTGACACAGCAGTGCTTACTGAAACAGAACCAGAAGCAGGCTATCACACCGCCACAGCATGTAAAGAAATGAAATAAACGGCACACAATCAAAGGGCCCAGGTTTTCCACCAACTACACCACACTTGCTCGTTAGAAGTGCTGCACGTTTAGTTAGAAGGTTTTAGTTAGAAGTCAGGTAAGGCTATAAAGTCATTTCTCTAAGATACCTCTCTTAACAATGCTTTCCATCTTCAGTTAGTTTTCCCAGTAGGACAACAGATCAAGAGTCAGATTTAAACTCCTTACCTGACAAATTCCACCCCTATGGAAGATGAAAGGCACAAGTTATCTTTCAGCTGCGGCGATGGATCCAGAAGTGTCTGAGTGTGCCTCTGTTGTTATTTATAGCCATGGCAACCACTCAAGCAGGCCTCTGTTAACTTACCAACAATGGGTACCATGGCAACTTTGAACAGGTAACGTCACCCAACGCTAGTTTACATAACCTGCTCAAAAGTCTACTTCATGACAAACAGACCTCTCTGCCGCAGCATTAAGCAATAATAAGCAATAGAGGAGCAACCATCAAGATCTGCAAAAGGTCAATGTGAAGTGCCGTTATCCAGCTCTTTTGTCACAGCCAGGTGCATTATTCCCGAGCATTACTAATACCAGAGGAAACATCACTTGCCACTCTTCAGCTCTGTAACCACACCATTAGCAGAGCAGCAGAACAAAAAGAAAACACACTTCATACCCTTTTATGTCCCTATTTACTTCCACTTACAGATTTATTACACTGACTGTACTCGAAGCCACTGCAATCGGTAGTGAATGTCAGTTTATCAGTTGGCATGCCTGCACAGAACAAAAAGGAAAGAAATACAGCGGAAGCTCAGCAAGTTAGCGGTACTAAGCTTGGTAACTGACTGGCTCACTTCACTGCCTTATAAATACAGTTTGAAATTAATTTTGAACACACATGTTGAACGTGTATAAAAAAATAAAACAAATGTAATCAATAATCTGATTTACAGCTGAATTATTTTAGCTTTTATTATTAGTTTTTGCATAGATTCATTACTCACACTTTGCTTTTTCATAAGTAAGCTATATATATGGCTGGACCTTTGATATTTATCAATGAAATAGAACTGTATATTATTCAAGTTATTGTCTTACTTTGGGCTCACTGACTGCAGGGTTGTCTGGAACCATATAAATGGTATCAACCTATTAACTGTATATGCAACTTCCAGATTCCCAATAATGCAAACTCCACATTCCACAGTGTTCATTTTCTGCACTTAAAACATTGGTCTGTTTTAGCATTGACTAACACTGGAAACATTTCCTACAGACTTGTTTTCACAACCTCAAATTAAAAAACTTTCAGCCATAAAATATCTGTGGAACACTCAGTTTTCAATAACATTACAGAAAAGCACTGACAGAAACTGAGACTAGGGTCATCTGGGACTTGGAAACTCAGCTCAATGCAAGCTATTCAAAGGATGCAAATAGACTCAAAGAACAAAATCAAATTAAAAAATTAACAAAAGGATGTAACAGCAAACTGCTATGGGATGTCTGAGAGCTGGCTCATCATTCCACAGTTTAGTTCGGCACTTGAAATGCATAACCGCTCAGTACAGCACTGGTGTGATGTATCTGACACCAAACCAACTAAATAAACTAAATTATTCTCCAAAACAAATACATTAAAACATTTAAAAACAAAAACATTTTCATGAGTTCTTAATTCATAAATTCTGCAACTGCTGTCTCTTCCCAGGGAGAGCACACCTGGGGTTGATGGTCCCTTGTATCCCCTCATGTCATAAAAGGGAAATATGCTACAGTGCTAATCATGTCTCCATGTTTTATATCTTCTAGACTGAAGAGTGAAAAACTGTAATTTATACAAATATAAAAAAAATAAATAATTAATAAAAGCTCTCTTTATGTTGCCCTACATGCAGTACAGAAGAAAATAATGTTAATTTCTGTCCAGTTCATTTTCATACATACTGTGTTGTATGGTTTGTTCTTCTATTGTTAGGTCTCCTGTACAATGAATCGAGGATAAAATCAGCATATGCATATTAGCAAAAGGTTCGAATTGTGTTACAAAAGGTCTAAAGGTGTTACCCACAAAGATTCTGGTTTCACCATTTAAAAGCCCGCTGTCCTATTTTTAAGCTTTTAAACAAAAGCAGTAAAGTTATTGCTTGGTTAAGGGCGCTGCATTCCGAAGAGCTGGCCCGGAGAGGGCTCACCAGTGGTGATTTACATACAGACTCCATCTAAATGCCTGCTGATGTGTATGAAGTCACTGAAGGGAAAGAAATTCGGCTGGACTGCCGAGAGGAAAACAAAGTGGTGGAGACGCTGCCAGAATCCGAAACAAAGCACTGGAGAGCGACCTCCGATTTGCTGCACATCTTTAATTACACCCAGGATATGATGAATGCTAGTGAATATTATGGCTTTGTAAAAAAATATTTATTAAGGAGCCTAAATACACCAGATCTCCTCTCTAAGCAGCTTTGAAGTGAATCAATAAGACAGGTTTCAGTGACCAACCACAAGCAGAGAAACCAGGGCACGTCCAGTCGGCTGTCCCCGCCACAAGCACAGCACAGCGACATCAGTTCACACTACCTTGCAAGAGGACTCCCCCATTTTTTCTGAAGAAAGGACTCCCTGGCCAGAGCGGAGCACTTGGCATGCTGGAGGGACACAGAACACAAGACGGTTAGTCAGTGGAGCCGCCTCGCGCAGGAACAGGAAGAGAGCGCACAGCTGCCACGGCATCACCTGCAAGGAAACACTCCCCATGTGGTTAAAGCCATCAGCAAGCTGTCTGGGGATTCATCTTCAAGAAATATACATCACGCGTCTGGATGGAGGCATAAGGATATGATCTACAAAATGATTATATTTCCCACCAGTTGTTCAGTGTTTAAAACTGGTTGTTTTCAATGAGATGTACAGTCACAAAGTGGTTCTTCAAATCGAAACTTTTAAGGTCCTGAACAGTACTTTTTTATGTAGAATGGTTTACTAAGATTACTTTCTAACTACCTGTACAACAAATAATTTCTAATATGCTGTCTTCGGTTCAATGCTAAATTTCTTTTCTGGAGCTTATGTAAGTGGTTAATGGAACTTTTCTTTGGAAACTGCACATCAAGGTACAGCTGAAATGATATTAAACACAAGTAACAATCCCTGATCCCCATCTGTGATATCGCCTTCAGACAAGCAGTAAAAGGGTTAACGTGACAGTTAATGCCTTTATCATACAGACCGAAGACTGGGGCTCAAGCTGCATGTTTTCCATATCAAGCCACTTAACTAAGAGCTCTGATTAAAGCATCTGTCTCATTAAAGCAGACAAATGTGTTTTTGACCAGGCACTTTCAGCTCTTTAATGGCAAAAGAAGTCTACAAATTTAATCAAGTATAGCCTGTGTTCTTCATTTCTGCTCCTAGCTTTAATTCTCCTCTAGACACTGCCATTAGATAACACTTCAAGACATTTGTTATGATGCTCTGCTCATGATCTTCTTGGCATCTATTAACTAATTGAGAATCGGAACACACTGCAGAAATGCAGAGGGCTTTGAGGATGAACAAACAGAAGCTCCTAAAAACTGTGATGAGTTTTGGAATATATTTGATAAATTGCCTCAGAGACATTTTTATGAAGGAGCATAAAACACAAACGCAAACAAAACTGTACTTCTGTGCTGTACAAAGCATTTGCCTTGAAAGCAAAAGGCATTGCCAACTCAGAATGTGCAGTCAGAACAAATCTGACAAAGAACAGATGCTGACCCAACAATTGTAGGGGAATTATTTAAGTATGGTAAAAAGCCATATTGTTTTTCAATACTTTATAGCATTCCTTCTGTATTTCATCCCCTTATTTACAGTGAGTGATTAGTGAATCTTGCCAGTAGCAACAGAGGAGGGTAACATCTCTATTAGCATATGTGTTACCTAGCAACCCCATCTTCGCGCTGCGGCTTTCGGGAGTTTGTTGTCAAAAAGATATTCAGGGCATCAAGATTATTAATCTAAGAGCTTCCTATTATATGCAGTTTTGACAAAGTTTACGACGCACTGTATAATTTCCCGCAGCTCGTAAAGTAAAATCGACAGAGGTCCACACCCACAAAACCTGCCCAAATGGCTTTTACGGAGAAGCTAAAGAAATTAACTTACATTTAAGTTACAGAGATTAACCCATTTACAGCTCAACACGCATCTCGAGTACTGCAGCCAGGGGGTCCAGACCCAGTATGACCCGCTCCAGACAAGCAGAACTGCACGGCTCACTTTTTCTAGGGCTGTGGCGGACATTAGCAGTTAATTAAAACACCGCCCATTCTAAAAAAACACATTAAATTCTTTTTCACTCAAATGGTTTTGGGTCTTGTTTCAATTTTATTTCAGCTCTACCCAGGGTTGAAATCTATTCAAGTGAAGAAACCACATAAAATAACTGAAGAATGGATCTCGGGTCATTAGAGCAAACATTGAGTCGTTTACTTAATGGGCCCAGACCCACACTTACTTGCAGAGCATGGGAACACATAAAAGACCTAAGAGAGGTCTCCAGCCCTGAAGATGATAGTATTTTAGGTGAGGTACCACTAAATCTGATCAGATAATGTTTAAGTAACAATCAATGAAAAATAACCATTAAAAGGAAAGAAAGGCAGTTATGAAATACTGCTTGTGAGATGGGTGCAGCTCTGCTCAGGCCTTCTGGAATTAGTCACAGTCTCTCATAGGCTCTGGGCCACAGAGTCTCACTCCCCAGCCAGAGGGGAACTTCATAGTGTCTGGGGTGCAAAGGGGTGAAATCACTTTCTGCAGCAGACCCATTACCACTGAACCCTGTTACAGCTACAAGCTCTATTAAATACAGAATGTGCATAAAGGAACAGGATGTTATGTAGTATGTTTGTAGTTTACTTACTGTAAGTCATGCTCGCACCTGCCACTGGGCCCTGGAGCAAGCGAGCATCACCACAGCAACCAGCAAAGCCTCTACGCACTTGTCAGTCAGCTGGTTGCCGTGACTACGAGCTCAGGTGGGAAGTCTATTTCACCTGTGGTCAATTTACAACCACGCCTCACAAGCCACGCCTCCTGAGAAACAGCCTTGTTGGTGCCTTGGGCTTTGTTGCAGAGCTCTGCTCCGAGACTCGGCTTCCCAGCTGCAAGCTTTGCTTGCTTGCCTTGACCTCGTTTGTCCATTTCCCTTTTGTGCTGTGCCTCCAAGTTTCCTGACTTCAACCCTTGCTTCTGCCCAAGTCTACAAGTCTGGGCCGTTTGCCTGCTGTGCCAGCTCGGCCCTGCACTGGGTCCCTCACGCAACCCTCGGACGCTGCTTTACTGCACTATGAGCAGCAACATCACGATGATACAGTGATTGAGATAAGAAGACTGGATTCTGCTGTGAGTGTGCACACTAAATCCAATGGATAATATTTGAGTTTGAACACCAGTTTCAAAACTGGATTCAATTCAATGACACAGAACTCTCTTCACAAAGCTGCCCCTCGCAGACTGAAGAAGACAGAGGTGATGAAAGTGTGAGTAAAAAAACAAGGCCGCCAGGACCTCAGTGAAGGAAATACCAGCACAACTGCTTGAATTACAGGTTTATTTGTCCTGGAAGTGGAGAGAAATTATCAACCGAAATATGCAATTTGTGCGCAGATACTGGCAAATGAATCTTTTAAACCCTCCAAATGATGAGACATGGAATTTCTGAGTTTTTGCTCAAAAGGTTGAGGAAGTGGAGCAGTGGTCAGAGTTTCATTACCGTCTTCCTGAAATCCAGACCAGCGATCCGCAGCCGTGTGGTGCACTCTGCGAGGACATGGGTGCCACTGGGACAGGATACTCACCTGCACCTTTAATCTCAAGGAAGACCTACGGGGATTTTTAGCTAAGAAGAAACCTGAGCTTGCAGTGTTGCAGAAAGACGACATGTGGCTGATGAAACTGGCCTCTATAGCTCCTACTGTACATTCAGTGGAATGAATACGCTGAATAAAACAATGCAAGGTAGGAGAGCTCATTTTTCCTTGAAATACACAAATTGGTGTACTTAAAGGAAAAGTGTCAATTTGAAAAGCTGGCATCTGCACACAAAATGCACATGTATGTAATGTCCTTTTTTTCCCCCCACAAAGAATCAAAACACTGACAAGGATTCATCCAAATCACAGATTTCAGCACATCTTTAGGTCTAGTCAAAACACTGAGCTCCTGCTTTCCGGAACTCACAACGGGACGAGCCGATGCACCTGTTGGGATATCAGTCGCTTCCATGAGTATACTGAATCCCAGCTTTCGCTCTGTCCCATCAAAGTTAATGAAAGAGCTGACTGACATGACATGTGACAAATGACTTCAGTTCAATGACCTGTCCCTGGAAACAATTTGGGATCCATGTTCAGATCAGTACATCACCAGCTCATCTGCAGCGCTGGAAGGTATGGTCTCACTCAGTACAACCCATTTACACGGATCTGGATTTTCTGAGATAACATCAGTGCTGATAGGGAACCAAGGCAGGAGGAACACTGACGATATCGTGCATGTACTTCAAGACCACCAGCAACGTGCTCCACACTGAATAAGCACAATGACAGTATTTCTAAATCCAACCAAGTGTTCTGTCAATTTACAGAAAAAAACTTAATTGGGAAATGCTGGGGAATTTTTACAACAGCTAGGGAGGACTTAGAAGCAAAAGGCTTGAGAACCACTGACCCACTACTATTCATTCTTCCTCCAATCGGCTGCTGAGAAGGCCTGTGGTGCAGTGCAAAAGAGAAGAAAGGAAACACAACGTTTCGGAAGGCTCCACAGCCGAAACACTGTGTTTCCTTTCTTCTCTTTTCAGCAGGGAATAAACCTTTACTTGCTCCTTTGCAGCTCCCTGCTTGAACTATGTATAGGATAATGCTGGATGTAAATGTACAGGGAAGCAGCGTTTTAAAATTGAAATAGTGTGCTGTTGCCAGAGGTATGTCACAGCAGTCCTCTGGCCTGCTCTCTGTTCCCGGAGGTGTTGATTTGATCACTGCACCACAGGCCTTCTCAGCAGCCGATTGGAGGAAAACTCGTCTGTTTATATTAGAGGCGCACATATGTTTCGCATCAGGTTACAGCAACGGTATGCGTTGCTATGGGTACCGCATGCTTGTGACAGAATACCCAACTCCTTTTTTTAACTGACTGTAAGAATAGAAAAACAAATAGAATATCACTCCACCCCACCACTACTACGCCACTTAAAACGACAGTATATCAAAATAAGAGAAAGAAACCGACAGATCCCTGTAGTTGCAGGTCTGTAAAACCTCTGTAAACTTGCATAATTGATCATTTAGGAATTTCCTGATATGTATATGTTGACATCAGGACATTTCTAAATGATTAAATCACTCAAAGCTTTGTTAACTGTAATGTAATTAATTTTAGACCACTGTTGCTCTGCAATTCAATTGTTATTGGATCAGCTAAAATTTTAGCAGTCTGACAAGTGAAGCAGAAGCAATAGGTGCCAGTTAAAGAAATGGATGAATATTTACTGTAATCAATGGGACAGCAGCCAAAAGCCAATTAATGTTTCTTACAAAGCCAGCCAATTATCTGCAGAAAATACTGCAACTGCCTTTTTTAAAGACTGAAGCAGCTG